ACGTAAAATCTCTGTGTTCTTTATTTTATACACTTTTAATTCCGCAAACAGTAGTAATAAGTACACCTAGAAGAACCAGGTCCTTCCAGAAGCAGTTTAAGCAAAAAATTGAGTACCACACAAATCACCCCCCCTCTTCTGTAGTATTGACGTTTAGAATCACCGGCCTCCCCGAACGGATGGCGTCGGCCATAAAGATGGGCCTAGTTGTTTGGCGAGGCGCGTCACCCTTTTCATCTCCAGTCGCCACCGCCTTACCCATCACGAGCCTCCTCCTTTTTCTCTCCTCAGGCTCCTCTCCCTCGGAAGGCTCGTCCGCAGGTTGCGGAGACAATGTCGACGGCCCCGCCTCATTTATAGCCTCCTCTGCAGGAGCAGCCTCTTGTAAAGAGGCTACGGTCACCCCTTCCCTGACAGAAGCACAAAGTATTTCCTGCGTAGTCTGACCAACATCTGATCGGGAGGAGGCGGATGTCGTCGCCCTCCTCTTAGGAGCACTTCGACCTGGCAATAAAAGTGATTTAGCCGACGAAGTTTGCGAAAGCGACTAATTAAAATCGAAGAAATACCTGAAGGGCTCGTGGGACCGTAACGTTCAATGAATTCAGCCCACGTACAGGTCTCTTCCGCTAGAGGCAGCAAACCGGACACCCACTGCTTAATATCGGTTATGAACCAGGGGACGTGAGCTATAGCTGCAAAATAACAAAAAAATCATAAGGATGGTATAACCGGAACCGCTAAAGTCACGTACGATAAATGACTCGACGGATAGTAATACTTACATCTCGAATTCCACCTCTCAGGGTATCCGACGGGGTTAGACACCAGGTGTTCCGTCTTGATGAAAAAGTATCTACGCCAATAGCCCCGGTTAGCCCGATCGTCGGTTTGCACAACCAACCCCTTCGAGCCACGATTCTTTAGATGCAGCATGGTGCCCCTCAGATAGCTGGCACTGAATAGCTGCAATAGGTGGTGGACGGAGACCTCCAGCCCGACCAGCTCCGCGTATGTAGACATTACCCTACATACCTTTAGGGTATACGGAGTGAGCTGGGCGGGACACATGTTGTAGTAACGGCAAAGTTCCTCCGCCAATGGAAAAATGGGGAGGCCGTAGCCGATCAAAAAGGGATATTCATAAAACGTATAGTATCCCGATCTATGGGTGCTCGCGTAGTCCGCTCCTGCTAAACCCATCTCCACGTGAGCGGGTATATCATACGACGCACGAAGAGTATCTAAATCGGTTTGTTTTAACTCAGATTTCTCCCAAGTTTGTTCGGGAGAATCCTTTGAAAGTCCCTCCTAATAAGGAGTTGCTTCGGGAGCACGTTATCTACGGTAAGAGGGGTGAGATCCTCCCCTTTCTCTCCCTTATCGCTGCCGGATGGAGGCGGTATGTCAGATGATTTATTATTACGAACCCACGGAGCGCTATCCCGTTTAGGTTTTGTCATGGTTTCCGATTAAGGAGTGATGTACTAAGCAACCACAAGTATACTTTCAGGAAAGCGGTGATTTTTCGTAAAAAGAAAGCGTTTTCTTGAAATAGTTGGAAAACGTTTGCAGATGATCTAAAGTTAGGTTAAGTTGAACCCTTTCCCTATTTATAGGGTTGGGTAGCGTTGAAATCGAAGAAGCAAAACCCCAAACAGGCGCGGGAAACCAAGCATCAGAACACCTTTTGTACTTCCTCAGGAACACGCGTAATGATGATGCCTGCATTATGGTGACATCATCTCAGGGAAGGGATTGCGCGCCAATAGATCAACAAATTCAAACGATCGCCCCCCCCCCCCCCCCCACGTCGTCGTCTCCAAACATGGTCAAAATTTTCCTAGTACAAGGATCATGGTTCCATCGGCGACGCACTTCGTTACGTCACCAACGAACGGAGGGACTATCTGTATGGGGTCAAATTCTGCCCACTATGGTAAGCAACGACCCCCGACTAAGCAATAGCCGAAGTAGAGGGGACGACCTAAGAATGTCAGAGCGAAAGTATGCCCTTGAGTCTCGTCGTCTCCTCGAAAGCACGTGACCTATCCCTGTATTATTTTATTATTTTTTGAGGGGTTTCTCTTGTTATATAAAGGAGAATCCCAATGTTGTAAAGGGGGATCTTTTCAATAATAAGCTATCTTTTCTTCTATTTCTCTCTCTCTCTCAACAAGCTTTCTCTTACTCTCTCTCGAATATCCAAGTTGTTGAAACAATCACAAGCATAATACATATTTCTAGGTCTAATTATATTCGATTACGATTTACCTTTGATTCATTTTGATTGTTTTCGCTTACAAAGTAATTAGTATCTTTTGAGCCAAACAGGTTTAAATGTCAATATCCGATGTTAATGTATTAATTAGGGTACATTAAAGTCTAACTACTTTTGAGAATTCAATTCATCCCTATTTTAGTTACGATTATTTTTTAAGTTTAGGATTGGAGAATAAACTTTTTAAAAAGAGTTTATTTTTGGGAAATGCCAAGCACGTTAAACATGTTTCAGGAAATGAAGTAAAAGAGTAAATTGATACGTTATTACTCTCTTTTTTGGTCCAAATATTATTACTCATTTTTGTCTGTTCAATTTTGAAGCATTTTGGTCTGTTCTTTATAATGTAGTTTCTTTCTTTTACCGTTTAGCTTTTAGACTTAAGGTCTTTCTCGTTACTGGTTAATTGTGTTTGTTACACGCTAATGCTAGCTAGTAATATGTTCTAGGATATTACTCTATTAGTACGCTAATTAAAGACTAAATTATTAATTCCTGCTTTCGTGCTTTTATGTTTTATTCTTCAGACCTGAACTGAAGTTTAAAAGCTCCAAGTGATAAATATTATTTATGGAACATTAAACCATGCGTATTGTTATAGTATTCTTTATGGAACAATTGTTTATTTATTTATCCAATTCAATAAAATTTTATTTTAAATAGATCATGTATTTGTCTATGTGTCCTTTGCTTATATAGTAAATGATTTAGTGTATAAAGTTTAGCTTATATACGGAAGATTAAATCATCGGTTCTTATAAGTCATAAAGTTTATGTTCACAATCTAATGATGGAATTGGACAAACCATCGGAATGATTATAGCACAACATTAAATATAATTTATCTTGATTATGGGAATGGTTTAATTCCGACTTCTTGTGCTAGTACATTTTGTATGTATTGAACGGATCAAGTAGAGATAAGTATTTTATACTGATTTAATAAAATAATTTGTCTAGTCCATTCAATGTACTTATACTCTTAATCTTGATATAGTTATTATTAATTGTGTGTGTCATTTGTTGTTTTGATTTATTAAAAGGCGAGATTCTTTCGTGGGTCAATAAACCTGGTAAATTGGACAATAATGATATATATTGACAAAGTAATAATTAGTTGATAGAATCCATGTCTCGACTATTGAGATTGATGATACTCCTTTATGAAAGCTTATAGTTTCCATGTGTAGACCCGCCGGTGGATTTTGACACATGAAATAAGTTAATCGAAAGTCTAAAGGAAGTAATCAATTTAATTTGATTGATTAGTATCTGATTCTTAACATGGGGAGTTAAATAAGATTTTATGGAAGAATTTTAAATTTGAACTAAGGAGTGCAATTACGAATTTTTAGTGAAATAATTCGTAATTTATTAGGGTAGAAATTAATTTCGAATTTCGAAATTAATTCATAATAGGGAGCCTTGTTAATTAAATTATGTGGTCCCTACTCTGCCTAAATAATAGGAAATAAAGGATACCTTTCTTTTGTGGAAAAAGAAAACCTAACATGTTTTGGAAAAGGGTTTCACCCTAAAAACGTGGCTATATATATCTCATATAGGGCTGGCCGTTTTTTTACACACGCTTTCCTTGGAATTTCGCCCAACCAAAATTCTCTATTTTCGGATATTATTTGGGTAACATAGTAGAAGATTGTGCTTGCTACTCTGGAACTGGAGACCGAGATTAATCTGCTTTGTTCACGCTTCAAGAGGTAACTCGTATAATCTCCATATGTGCTAATTCTTTAATTTACACGTGAATATGATACTGAAATTGCATCCTCTGCGATATATAATCCAACAATTGGTATCAAAACCTACTCACGTCTAATTAGATAATTAGGATGAACATGAAAAAGGAGCATCATTTTAATATGCAAGTTTTGAATTACATGCAAAGATTATTTTTCTGTAAAACTGCACTACTTTATGCATGAATATTTGTTCCGAGAATTTTGATTATTCTGAAAATCATGTAATATATATTTATTATTAAGGAAATTTAATTAGAATAATCTGAAAATTTTGTTAATCCGAGGAAAACACAAAAACTCCTATTTGGCCGAATTGGTTAGAAAATCGGAGGTCAACATGTTGAAGGACTCCGATTGACCTGAAATTTGGTAGGTCCATGCGAAACGGCCCAGTGATCAATACTCATCAGCTTTGCTCATGATGTAAGCCGTTTTTCGAGCACTCGGGGTCGTTTAGATGGTAGTTTGGGTATTTTTCTAATTTTCTAGAATTTTTTCAAAAAATATTTTAAGTTGTTTTTAATCCAGTGGTGGTAGGGATCGTTTTCTATGGACTCCAGGGTTAAGTTGTGGTGATATAATGAATTTACACGTTGACGTAGGTCTTCTTCCATATCGGATAAAGTCATTATAGATAATCATTAGGTAATACTAATTGTTGATTACTTGTATTTACTCTCCATCTGAGTATGCATGTTGGTTCAATGGGACTAGTATCTTGAATGTTGATATTCATTTGACTTAAATTAACTGTTTACTCTTGATCCGAGTAAGGCCTGTTTAAATCCATGGAGTGAATAATCTGTCATTATATATGTATATTGCAAGAATAGCTCTTTTCCCATCGAAACTTGTTGTTCAAGGTGCATGGATTTTATGTATGTAGTGTGTTTTGAATTTTTATATTCAATAAAACATGACTGATTTTGATCTATTTATTTAATTATCTCTCATTAATCATGACTGCTTTCAATCCCTTTACTGTTATTCTTACTCAAAACCAACTTGAGGGTCTGAATTATGTTGATTGGAAACAAAATTTGGATATTGTCCTAATTGCTAAAGAGTACAAATTTGTGCTTGATGAGGTGTGTCCAGAAAAACCTAGAGAAGATGCTACGGATGATGAACATAAAGCTTACCAAAAATGGGTTAAAGCTGATGAGACGGCGGGGTGTTACATTCTGGCATCTATGCTGGATGTTCTGCAACATCAGCATCAGTCTATGGAGTCTACTTATGACATTCTAGAAAATCTCAAAGAGATGTTTGGAGATCAGAATCGTGCGGCTAAGCACACTGCCATGAAAATTCTTCTGAATACCAAAATGGTTGAAGATTCATCTGTTAGGGACCATGTTCTGAAGATGATGAGTCTTCTGAATGAACTGGAGGTCCTTGGAGCTAACATTGATAAAGATACGGAGGTTGAGATGATCCTGCAGACTCTGCCTGACAGTTTTTAGCAGTTTCGCCTGAATTATAATATGAACAAAATGGATTTGTCACTTGCGAAATTGCTGAATGAGCTGCAGTCGAAGAGACTATTTTCAAGAAACAAGCTCCTCATGTGGCACTGAATTTTGAGATAGGTTTTTCTTCTAAGCCGAGAGGCGGGTAGAAGAAGAAAAAGGCACAAAAACCCTCTGTTGGAGGCTCAACTGCTAGTGTGAAAAAGTTTAAGGGCAAGTGTTATCACTGCAAGAAGCCTGGGCATCATAAGAAGCAATGTTCGGCTTATCTGGCCAAGCTGAATAATAAACCAGGTGATTTACATCTACTTGTCGTTGAAACTCTTTTAGCGGTTGTTTCTACTATGTCATGGTGTGTAGGTTCGGGAGCCACTAATCATGTATCCACTTATTTGCAGGGGTTTCAAGTAACTCGGTGGCTAAGTAGAGAGGAAATCAATATTTATCAAGCAGATGGTTCGACAGCCCCAGCTTTAGCATTAGGAAATATTAGTATTTCATTTGGTAGTAATAGAGTATTAACTTTAAAGGACACATTATATGTACCTTCCTTTAGAAGGAATTTAATTTCGGTTTCTAGCGCTATGAGAGATGGTTATGACACTAATTTTCATGATATTGATAAATGTGTAATAAATGTTATCTTTCTTCGCCTACATTGATTAATGGTCTTTTTATTGTTGATTATAATCCTAAACTGTTACAGCCTAAAGAACCGAATTATATTGATTTACCAAATAAGAGAAAACGTTCTTCTGAATTGAGTGAAACATATTTATGGTACTTGCGTTTGGGTCATATAAATCTGAACAGAATTTCAAAGTTCGTTAAGGATAGACCTTTAAGTTCATTAAATGTGGAGGCACTACCAACTCGTGAATCTTGTTTAGAAGGAAAAATGACAAAATAAAATTTTCCCTCGAAAAGAGATCGAGCAAGTGATAAATTAGAGTAATTCATTCTAATTTGTGTGGTCCAATGAATGTCCAAGCAAGAGGTGATTTGGAGTATTTTATGACTTTCACAGAAGATTACTCAAAGTATGGATATATTTATTTGTTGCGTTGAAAGTCTAAATGTTTTTGAAAAGTTTAAAGAATTTAAGACAGAGACTGAAAAGCGACATAATAAATATATCAAGACACTACGATCTGATCGTGGTGGGAGTACCTCTCTGCGGAATTTATTAGTTACTTATCAGAATGTGGAATTACCTCTCAATTATCTGCACCTGGAACACCACAACAAAATGGTGTAGCTGAAAGAAGAAATAGGACTCTTATGGAAATGGTTAGATCAATGATGAGTTATTCTAGTTTGCCTTCGTCTTTTTGGGGACATGCCTTAGAAACAATAAATTACGTTCTGAATCTGGTTCCTTCAAAGTCTGTACCTTTGACCCCCTACAGAATTGTGGACTGGTCTCAGGCCTAGTCTGCGACATATTCGAGGTTGGGGTTGTCTGGCACAAGTGCTAAAATGGAAAATAGATAAATTGGAGGCGAGAACGGATGTATGTGTGTTTGTTGGTTATCCAAAAGGGAAGAAAGGTGGTTTATTCTATTGTCCTAGAGAAAAGAAGGTAATTGTTATCCCCAAATTCAAAGTTTCTTGAAGAGGACTATTTGATGAACCATGTTCCTAGAAGTAAACTTGTTTTACAAGAACTTAGCAAAGGAATGGAAACTCAGTCATCTGAAAAACAAAACGACCAGATGCAAACCTCGGAAGTCAATTTTGACATACCATTGCATTTTAGTAGTGGGAGAAATGTCAATAGACTTGATGTCCAGCAAGAACAACTGCCCGAAGCCATACTATCACAAAGTAGTGGGAGTTATGAGCAAACTGCACAACAGGATGAAGTCATTGATATCCCTGTGGATAGCATGGAGACTCAGGTTCCTGATAACGATGTGGTTCAATCACAAGATCATAATGGTGTAGTTGCAATTGATGTAGTGTGTTGTCGTAGTGGGAGAGAAATAAGACAACTGGTTTGTTATACGCTCTTGGGAGAATCATATGATAGGATCCCTGAGGAACCAACTACCAAACCCAAGCGCTACATGATAAAGATGTTGACAAGTGGTTACTACTATGAAATCAGAGATGGGTCTATGTATGTCTATGTATTCTAATCAAGTATGGGATCTTATAGAACCACCTGATGGGGTTAAACCCATTGGATGCAATGGATCTATAAGAAAAAGAGAGGTGTAGACGGAAAAGGGTAAACTTTTAAAGCAAGGCTTATAGCGAAAGGGTTTACTCAGAAAGAAGGGATCGATTATGAGGAGACTTTCTCGCCGGTAGCCATGCTTAAGTCTATTAGGATTCTCTTATCCATTGCTGCTCATTATGATTATAAGATTTGGTAAATGGATGTCAAGACAGCTTTCCTTAATGGAAGTCTTGATGAGTACATCTATATGATACAACCAGGCGGTTTCGTGGAAAGTAGCAAGGAACATATGTTGTGTAAGCTTAAAAGGTCCATTTATGGACTGAAATAGGCATCTAGGGCATGGAACACTTATTTTGACAAGGCAATTAAAACTTTTGATTTTGATCAATGTCTTAATGAGTCTTGTGTATACAAGAAGTGGGATGGGTACAAAGTGGCATTTTTAATTTTATATGTAGATGACATATTGCTCATAAGAAATAATGTGGGCATTTTGGGTTCAGTTAAGCAGTGGTTGTCCATGCACTTAGATATGAAAGATTTGGGAGAAACGGCTCATATTCTTGGGATCAAGCTCTTGCGAGATCACAAGAAAAGAATATTAGGCTTATCCCAGTCTATTTATATTGATACAATACTCTCCAGGTTTAGCATGCGTAATTCCAAAAAAGGATTTCTTCCTTTCAGGCATGGAATTTCTCTATCTAAAGATCAGTCTCCTAAAACTGATGAAGAGATAGAAAAGATGAAGGTGGTCCCTTATGCATCTACTGTGGGGAGCCTGATGTATGTCATGTTATATGCTGGACCTGATATTTGCTTTTACCGTGGGCGTTGTTAGCATATTTTAGTCTAATCATGGGAGAGAACACTGGAATGCGGTTAAGCATATAATCAAGTACCTGAAAAGGACTAGAGATTATATGCTAGTCTACCATTCGGATGACCTTGTACCTATTGGGTACACTGATTCGGATTTCCAATCAGATAGAGATTCTAGAAAGTCTACCTCAGGAAATGTGTTTACTCTGGGAGGTGGAGCCATAACTTGGAGGAGCATCAAGCAATTGCTGATTCCACCATGGAAGCCGAATATATGGCAGCCTCTAAGGCATCCAAAGAGGCGGTTTGGCTCGGGAACTTCCTTAGAGAGTTGGGTGTAGTTCCCTCGATTCAAGCACCAATAACACTTTATTGTGATAATAATGGTGCGGTTGCAAATTCGAAGGAGCCACGAAGCCATAAAAGAGCAAAGCACATTGAGCGTAAATATCATTTAATTCATGAGATAATGTAAAGAGGTGATGTAGTAGTCACCAAGATTGCATCAGAGAACACCTTGGCGGACCCGTTTACTAAGAGCTTGCCACATAAGACTTTTGATAGGCATATAGACGAAATGGGTGTTAGAATTGTGGACGCATGGTTATGAGTCTAAGTGGGAGATTGTTAGAATAGACTATAAACCATGCGTATTGTTATAGTATTCTTTATGGAACAATTGTTTATTAGTTTATCCAATTCAATAAAATTTTATTTTAAATAGATCATGTATTTGTCTGTGTGTCCTTTGCTTATATAGTAGATGATTTAGTGTATAGAGTTTAGCTTATATACGGAAGATTAAATCATCGGTTCTTATAAGTCATAAAGTTTATGTTCACAATCTAAATGATGGAATTGGACAAACCATCGGAATGGTTGTAGCACAAGATTAAATATAATATATCTTGATTATGGGAGAATGGTTTAATTCCGAATTCTTGTGCTAGTACATTTTGTATGTATTGAGGATCAAGTAGAGATAAGTATTTTATACTAATGTATTAAAATAAGTTATCTAGTCCATTCAATGTACTTATACTCTTAATCTTGATATAATTATTATTAGTTGTGTGTGTCATTTATTATTTTGATTTATTAAAAGGTGAGATTCTTTCGTGGGTCAATAAACCTGGTAAATTGGACAATAATGATATACATTGGCGAAGTAATAATTAGTTGATAGAATCCATGTCTCGACTTTTGAGATTGATGATACTCCTTTATGAAAAATTATAAGTTTCCATGTGTAGACCCAGCCGGTGGATTTTGTATCTGACACATGAAATAAGTTAAGCGAAAGTCTAAAGGAAGTAGTCAATAAATTAAATTGTCAGTAATTTAATGTGATTGATTAGTATCTGAATCTTAATATGGGGAGTTAAATAAGGTTTTATGGAAGAATTTCGAAATTGAACTAAGAAGTGCAATTACGAATTTTTCATGAAATAATTCGTAATTTATTATGGTAGAAATTAATTTCGGCTTTCGAAATTAATTCCATAATAGGGAGCCTTGTTAATTAAATTCGGTGGTGCCTACTGTTCATAAATAATAGGAAATAAAGGAAAACTTTCCTTTGTCAAAAAAGAAAACCTAATAGGTTTTGGAAAAGGGTTTTACCCTAAAAAACATGCTATATATATATATATACCTCATATAGGGCTGGCCGTTTTTTTACACACGTTTTCCTTGGAATTCCCCCACCCGAAATTCTCTCCTTCCGGATATTATTTTGGTAACACAGTAGAAGACTGGAACGTTTTGCTGAGGTCGCGGTCTTGCAACTCTGGAACTGGAGATCGAGATTAATCTGCTTTGTTCACGCTTCAAGAGGTAACTCGTATAATCTCCATATCTGTTAATTGTTTAATTTACACGTGAATATGATACTGAAATTGCTTCCGCAACGATATATAATCCTAACATTGACATCCGTAGAGGTTTTGATATGTAGATGAATCTTGCTGGAAAACTTGGCTTTCTGAAATAACAAGTTGAAGGATAATTTTACCCTCAACTGATCAATTAACCACCAGTCAAAGTTTTAGAATTTGAGTTAAAGGTGAGTATACTGATTTCTCAAACTTAAGATGGG